TTCTCCCTGACTTTCCTAATCTGCTCAACAGCTGTCTCCCCAAAATGAAATCCCAGCCAGGAGAATGAAACCCCTCCGACAGAGCACGCTCAACCATAGCGGGTATATAAAGATTTTTACACACCTGTATGCCTCTACCGATTGATGTCTACGCACTTAATTGTCACATCTAAAGCCATACTTTGCGTCGGGTGTTTTCATACAGCTTGGAGGTCCCGAGCAAACTGACCTACTCTCATGTGGCCACCTGGGCCGATAAATACCTGGACAGTGGGGTCTCCCTGCCGATGGACACAGCTGAGAGCTCGGGCAGTGACTACGACAGCGACGACAGCAGAAGCTCAGCGGAAACTGTGCACTTCAGTTACTCGTGTGTCCCATCTGACATCGAGGTGGGGGACAGGTCGAGGATCGCTCGATGCCAATACGCTCCTCTGCTCTCGGGGACATTGAATTTGTGTTTTTCTTACAGATATCAGAAGTGAAATCTGAAGCTGCCGTGTCAATGGCTCCGAGTATGGCCACCTCCATCGCTTCTTCCCTACGAAGACGTTTATCTGCCTTTTCTCCAAAGGTAAACCAGTTCTTGATTTAAAATTTTTGCATTTCCACTTTTCCTTTGGTTTCTTCTTTGGTGTTGTGTTTAGCGTTGCACTTTCTTGTAATTTTGTATTGATTTAAATTTTAGTTTTGTGTGCTGCGTAGTCTCATTTCTGAAAGGTAACTAAATGATGCTTGTTTTATATGGTCAGTGTTGGGTAACCTTGTTATCTTATGCTCCCTTTAAGCAGCCGTTGGAAGCAGACATGGAAGCATGTAAGGAGCCCACCCCGATGTACCGCCTGGTTTTAGCGGGAGACGCAGGAGCGGGGAAGTCCAGCTTCCTGCTGAGATTGACCCTTAACGAGTTCAGAGATGATATTCAGACAACACTTGGTGCGTGCCATGGCAAACATATCTTTTGATTAAACACTGGCACTCACTTGATCTCAGAGATATAAATCTCCTTTCCTTTTCTTTTTTGTTCCCAGGGGTTGATTTCCAAATGAAGAGGATGTTGGTGGATGGCGAGAAGACAAATCTGCAGATCTGGGACACAGCGGGGCAGGAGAGGTACAGCACCTCCATGAGAACAGTTTAATGAAAACTGTGAAAATGTGGTGCTATCATTTTGGTTCTAACACATGTAAACCTCTTTAATTATTGACTCAATTAAAAGACACTAGAGTAAAATGAGTTTTAATGTTTATTTTAGGTTTCGTAGTATTGCCAGGTCTTACTTCCGTAAAGCTCACGGAGTCCTGCTCCTCTATGACGTGACTTCAGAAAGCAGCTTCCTTAACGTCAGAGCATGGGTGGATCAGATTCAGGTAACTGCAGTGGTGACGATCAGTTGTTGAAAAGATGACAAAAGAAGCACTATTTAAAAAGTAGGGACAGAATTTATCGTCCGCTTTGTTTCTATTAAGGAGTCAGCGGAGGAGAAAATACCAATGTGTGTTATTGGAAACAAGGTGGACCTCCGAGGGGAGCTTCCTGAGGGAAGCTGTGTGAGCAGTTTGCACGGTGAAAAGTTGGCCAAGGTGTGTTATTTTTTTCTCCATTTCACCTAGTGGAAAAGTATTTATACAGACACCTGGCGTCTAAGGTGTCTGAGTAAACTGAATGCACTCAGGGATGTCGGTGCTTTGCTTGCAGACGTACGGTGCTTTGTTCTGCGAAACGAGTGCCAAAGAGGGTACAAACATCACAGAGGCTGTGCTTCATCTGGCAAGGTAGGAGGTCGGAAAGAGAGTTTGAGTTAATTTCTTTGCTTCTTTTTTTGCTTGGTAACCCGTGGCAACACTCCTGCCTTTTTACTTTCACACAGAGAAGTGAAGAAAAATGTCAAACTGAGGCCGCAGTCAGACTCTCAGGTCAGACTGAATCAAATCAGCCCAAAGAAAACTCTTAACAACTGCTGTGGACTGTAGACGACTGATGTCTGTACGGAGCAACGAAGGACAACGTGCTACTTTTATTTAATAAATGTCAAATTTTAAAAAATGTTATATGTATTACTATAAAAATGCTAAATGTACTTTTATTATTTGATCAAAATGAAGGTTTCTATTGTGGGAATATTGCACATGTGCAAATATAAATGTACAACATTATATTTCTTTTAAAAAGTTTTATTTATTTGGTAGGTTATTTTATAAAATAAGCAATAGTGTTTACATTTTGATTTAATGTAAGTATTTTAACTGTAACTGCCAGATACACAAACACATTTTTTTTGTCGATCAATGCACTATTTTTTCCCACATTTCTTTTCTAGAGTTGCATAAGAGGGAGAAAAATATTAATTTTTTTTGTTTTCATCATCACTGTAAGCAATACTATATTGCGGGTTTATCGCTTGTACTAATTGAAGGATTTATCTGTGTGTAAATAAAACTGCTTGTAACTGGGTTTTTTCTTTACAAAAGTCTCACATCCACTAATTTTTGGGGGTTTTTTTTGTTTTTTTTGTTGAACATCTGTGATAATGGAACATTTTCCAGGCCCCATTATTTATAACAAAGAGAAACGTAATCCTTTTTCCAAGTGAAACAGACAGAACTGGAAAGCTGAGAAGCTTCTGTCGTATCAATCAGCAGAAACCTACTGAGAACTCTGTTTTATTATTCGTTTTTCAGACGAGAGCTTTTTAGTTCAGGCTCCAGTGCTGTCGTGTTGAATCAACAGCAGAAAACTCTTTTCATATAAACTTATTAGATGACTCGAGACCAAACTCTGCTCCTGCATATGAAGATGATGATCTTCGAACTACTTCCAAAAGAGGATTTCAGTTTCTTGCAGTCAAAATCATTGATGTCACCAAACTGCCCAGAGCCACCACCAGAGCTCCAAGTATAAATTTCCAGGAAATTCCCTAAAACACAACAAAAACACCACTGTAGTTCCGGTCAATGCCAGACTCGTGGCAATCACAATTTTTTTTAAAAAATGAAAAAGTAGTAGAAATAATCACAGCTTACAGATGGCTTCTTCTTAGATGGGATCAGGAAAGGTGCAATATTGTCTCCAAGCATCTCTGCTGGTTTGGGTTTCCACTCTTGGGTTTCTTTGCCTCCAGACTGCCTTTTGACAAGTTTAGATAACTCGACATGGATTGCCTGTAAGGGGGGGAGGAAGATGCTTTTAGTAAATAAAAATGAAACGCTAAAAGGGTGAAGGTGCAGTTTTAAAAGTGTCCAGCAGGTGAAAGCAGAGATCTGAAAGTAAAGTAGACCTTTATGCTAAAGACCAGGGAATTATAAAAGTCACATTTTAAACTTTATACTAACAGCTTTGCACTTGTAACCAAATTTCACACAGAGGACCTTTTATATTTTTTAAATGGCAGATTTATCATCAGAAAACTGTAGCTTGCCATAAAAAGTAAGCCATTTTTCTTATTTTCAGTGGAATTTCTGATATATGTTTTTTTTGGGGGGGGTGACCCACCACTACAGAGTGCAGTGCACCAACTTTCTCACAGAGCAGCTAAATCAGGTTTCTCTAAAGCATTTCATCCACTGCTGGGACAAGCGTGTAATTACCAAAGCAGCAGATATTTTCGTTTTGTCTAGACAAGACCAGGCATATTTGTGACTGTGGCAGTGCGCCCTATAGATCAGGTCACTGTAACATTGGCAGAAATGTACTCCTCACACTCTGTAGATCAGATCCTGCTTTGCTGGAGTAAGCAATGACCATAAACTAGGATCAATTCAAATCTTTGCAGCATTTGTACATTTCTCTGTTGTAGCTGAAAAGGAGGACTTGGTTACTCTCTCTGCGTTACAAAAATGTAAGTTATGTATGTATGTGGTATTTTTGCCAAGATTGCAAGAAAGCACTTAGTGATGTGGTCACATCTGTGGACTGCCAGATGTGCAGTTTGCATGAGCCTCTGTGGAGGATTTGGCAGATTAAACAAACCACAAAAACAAGATGGTACAGGCCTCAACACAAAGAGTTCACCAGGGTTCCTTCAGGCTGATGTGGAGCAAATTTATTTAAAAGCTTCTAAACTTTAATATTCAAAATAAAGCGGTTATGTCCATTTGTGTGAATGTGAGAGATGGTAATTTCTCCCGTATCCAGGGTCAAATGTTTTCATGTATTAAAAAACTGGAGATTTTATAGGCATTTAAAAAAATATTGTCAATTTAAATAAAGCGGAAACCATTTTTTTTTTGTTATCAACCAAAGATTTTTCTTACATTTGTTTATATTTATTTAAGATAAGCCTAACTGTGCATGTTGGGATTAAATAAGTCGGTTGCGTTGTTGCACGTTGGCATGGCAATATCAGCATATTGCCCAAAGCACAATTTTGCTCAAGTATAGCCTCAGAGCGCTGCTATTATATGAGCCAGTGCTGTTTGATGGTTGAGCGTTTATAATGTAATAATGTCAAAATATTTTAACAGATGTTGAGCGTTTAGTACGGAGCTGAATTTTTCTGAATAATTGCACGAGGCCTGGACATTATTTATTCATTCGCTGTGCAAGTGCAAGTTTAACAACAGCACTCGACTCTGTCTTTACCCTTGAAATTATAATATGCAGAGCTTTTTAACCTCAATAATGGCACATTTGAGAGGTCCTTTTTAAAATAAAAACACATCATTTAGACCGACTGGAGAGTATTGGCAGCCAGGAATAATTTTCTTTCTTTTTTTTTATGTGGGAGGGATTCACAGGCAGCCTTGGAAGGAGGACCTGCTCACCCATATCATCTCACCTTGGTGGCTGGCTCCAGTTTCAAGGCCTTTTTTAGCACTTCCATAGCCTCTTTGTATTCACCCTTGTCAGACAGGAGCTGAAAGAGATTAGAAACCCTGCAGTGTGAGCAGAGCTGGAGGAAGCATAAATCAAAAACTGACAGAGAGGGAGATAGCAATATTGTACCTACTATTATTTACCCACAAAAATAATAAAAAAGCTAACTATATTAACAAACTCCTCTTCCTTCCAGGAAACCTCCTTAAAATTATAGCTTGGTCAAATTAGATGCTACACACTGTCTATACATCCTCACCTTTCCTACCCTGAAGAGGGCCTTGACGTTGTTTGGCTCGAGGGTCAGAACGTCTCGGCTGGTGTGCAGAGCCTCGTCAAACTGCTCCAGTCTGACTTGAGTGGTCGCCAGGTTGTTCAAACACTTCACACGGTAGTCCTGCACCTCCTCCTCCTCTTCCTTCACACCAACATCATTACCATCTGCACAGGGAGAGACGCATGGCTTATAACATACCCTGCTGCTTCAACTGTAGCTTTACAATCATTAGATTGAATTGATCCCACAGCCCAAAAACATGCATGTAGGGTTAATTGGCAGTTGTAAACTAACGATAGATGTAAACATGAGGGTGAATGACTGCCTGTCTGTAATATCTTGACTGTCAGGGAGAAACTCGGTGTTATTATGAAGTTATTTAGTGCTATTTTTGCATTCAGCTGGATGCTTTATCGTTGTCTTGCATGGTTTTACCATTAGGCTCAAAAATGTCCAACTGGCTTTAGTAGTGACTGAAGTAATGAGCACTGGTTAGTGCAAAGGGATTTTACTCCTGGCCCTGAGCATGATGGGTGATAAATGTTAGCAGCTTAGGGGCTACATTTTTGTGAATGTGCCACGCAAATGCGCCTGAGCAAGTTGAACAAACGTCTTGGATTTACTGCGCCTGTTTTTGCCTTTAAAAACAAAAACTTATCAGAAATAAGACAGTTATGTTTAGGAAATTATGTACATCATGCATAAACAGGGGAAAAAAACAACTTTTGCATCCATTAAACTGATCTTTTGCCAAAGAGTGCTTTGACTGTCTATCGTGAAAAACATGCAACTTAGTTTTACTGAATGAAGCATAATACATGCTGTGCCCAAATGGCTAATAGATTTGCAACACGACAATAGCTAACCAAATGTTTGCATGTCAGGATTGTGTTGTGGCAATTTGCAAAGAAAACAAATCAAAATCAGTTATTTTAAATGTGATCTGACAATAAAGAGGACCGATGACTCTCATGCATGGACCCACAATTAGCTTGTGAAAACACAAGCTAATTCAAAATACGAGTCTGTGTCAGTGTCTCAGTGTTAACTGTTCAACCACAATTTCATTTTCATGCAATTCATATCACAGACTATAGGCCACCCATCCCCACGCTCACACTGCCCCTGATGACCCAGACCCTAAAACACTTCAGTTTGTCTCAGCACTCCCTCCTCTCCCTCTTTATGTGCACACCTGCTCTTGAAAAGCGCTGTTACAGAGAAAAAGGGGTTCATAATTTTATGCATTTTGTGGCTTAATTGGGGAAGCAGTGACACACTGTCCCCACATATATGTTAATTACTTAACAAAGCATTTTCAACACAGGAAAGCTGAGGAAGCATTGAAAGCAGTGTGATATTAAATAGGCATCACACTACATGGATGCTGTGCTCGAGTCCAAGTGAAAGGTGCTTGGGCTCACCTTTTTAAACAGCACCTGGACGCATCAAGCAGCGGGCACACTAACAACACGCACTGCACTCCATTGTGCTCGGACAAGGTATGAAACAACTGTTTGGTCTCCAGTTAGCTGCAAATATTTAAGCCAAAACATGGGGATCATAGTGTTTTGCAGTGTTTTATACAAAGTTATTAGGTTCTCTATTTTGTTGTAAACTGAATGTATAATAATGATGTGCAATCCTGCAAATTTTGGCATTGATCCGATATCAAGTAAATGCAGGGCCAGTATTGCTGATACCAATACCAATAATGATATTTTAACATATAAAAGCAGCTTATGTGGGGGAGAGCAGTGTGTCATGACTATGAGTTGAATCATCGTACATTTACCAAATTCGAACTCATGTATTTTGAAACTGTGTTTTTTGGAGACCTGCTATGCAAACGTGCCTGTTTCTAAAACTCCAGCTCCAGCTTGTTATAGGCTATTATGTGGGCTACAAACTGAACTTAGAGGATAGAAACAAAGTATCGATTCTATCGAGCTAGTGTCGATCCGAAAACAATATCAGTATTGGTATCAATGTGCTTAGCTCTAATCTACAAATAATTTAGACGGTCATCTGCTCGAGTTTTACTTTATTTGACGCTCTTCTCCCATAAATGAATTATTTAATAATATTTTGTTACTTATTAAATTCGTTTTTTAAAAAGCCTAAATATTGAGCTTGAAAACCTTAAACTCAAATGCCATTTCCTCTTCAAACCAAACACTATTCTTTTTTTCCCTTTTTTAAAAGCTGAACAGCGTTTGACATAGAAGTGAAAATATTCCCTTTTTTCCACATTTAATAGGACACTTCAGCTCAAATGACCATGTTTCATCCATCCACGCAGTAAACTTAAAAGTTCTTACTTTAAAAAAAATGACACAAAATTAATTGAGTTTTGCATTTCTAATATTTTGCAAGAGCATATTTATTTTTACGTGATTACCAGTTAATTGATTATATTGATTTTAAATTTTCGTGTGTGCCGAGCTGGTTTTTGTCTGTTAGGCTCCGAATGACACAAGTAAGAGATAAGGTCTGTGTTTTCCCTTTTGCTGGTCATCTTCTCATCCACTAATTACATGATCTCGATGCCCTGATAAACTCCTCTCTTCAGTGCCATGGTGACTTGTCTCACCGGTCTACTGTCATTGTTGCATTATGAAGCAGCGCATGTTTTTCTCTTTGCTGACATGTTCAGTCACATTTCCCTCTTGGCCCGACCCTGCCTCATCAATGATCAAAGTGATTAAGTAAGTAGAAAAAATAAGACCATTGATTAGCTTTGATTATGCAAAAGAAGTAAGCCAAAAAAACGATCACGGCCCCAGGCTCAGATGGACGTGGCGCTACATCGTGCTGAAGCGATTAGTGTGACGGCAGAAGTGAGGAGAGCGCTAACCTGTTATGTCATCCCCGGCTGATGTGGCAATAAGGTGTCTCAGGTTTCTTAGAGGCTGTGTTTTATGTGCCCTGGTTTATTGTTTTCTGTGTGTGTGTTTCTTTATCTCTGCCAAAGCATCCTTGGCACAGTCAAAAGTAAAGGAGTATTACCTTTGCTGCGTGTGGTCAGCACATCCAGAGCCACGCAATAGGCCCGGGCAGCCAAGCTGTATTCCTCCCTCTGGAAATGAAAATTCCCTGTCTCTCGTTTCTGGTTGCCGATGCGGATGCGGTCTGCAATGGGCAGAGTTAATGGGTCCGGTTTCTCTCTGAAGTCCAGCAGCTGCAGCTGGTAGAGTAAAGGAGCCCAGGCTGGAATATCAGGCTCTCTGCACATAAACACATAAACAAACACAGTCAGTATGAAGGAGGCTAGATGCCAGAGGATGGCAGCAGCTTGTAAATGGCCTGTATTTGTATTTGTATTACTAGTCCCTAAAGTCCCCAAAGCGCTTTACACATCCAGTCATCCACCCATTCACACACACTGGTGATGGCAAGCTACATTGTAGCCACAGCCACCCTGGGGCGCACTGACAGAGGCGAGGCTGCCGGACACTGGCGCCACCGGGCCCTCTGACCACCACCAGTAGGCAACGGGTGAAGTGTCTTGCCCAAGGACACAACAACCGAGACTGTCCGAGCTGGCGCTTGAACCGGCAACTCTTGAGCCATGATCGCCCCAGCTTGTGTGTGTGTGTTCTTAAGCTATTGTCTTAACTGTTATTAAGGCCTTATAACTGTATTACTTTGTGTGCCTTTTTTTCTTGCCAACTGATGGCACTGAGTACATCAGTAATCGTGAATGGAATGAGTACTGTTATCCCTGATGAGCCAGGGAGGAAATAATGGGGCTGCAGAGCTGGATCTAAGCAGAAAACAAAGAGGAATAAATATAAACCGTCCATTCCAGCTATCATCATGAGGGCTGTGAGGTATTGGGCAATAAGATCGATGAGCTTGGAGCGCTGATAAAGTCCCAGAGGGAATACCATGAGTGTAGAGTGATGTGCTTCGGGAAAACGTGGCTGAACTTGCACTTCCCAGACCACAGTATGGCACTACTCGGCTTTAAAACTTTTTAGCCTTAGAGAGCTTTAATCTGGATGAATTTCACTGTGAATGAAGAGGTGGCGCGATCTTGGACACGTTAGTCTCAAGGAAAGTTTCTGTGACCCAGATATTGAACTGATAGCTGGTGCTTAGCTTCCAGGATTATTTAGTCACGTCACTGCTTGTGTTTTATCTTTATAGCAAACTCTCCAACAAGAACAAAAGCATCACTTCTCATCCCCTAATGCTGCTCTTAAATTTAAAGACACAGACACAGCTAGAAAGATTTTTTTTTTTTTTTACAAGATTTTCAGTTGTGGCTTACACCGGTGCATGTTAAAAACACTGGTACTTATACGGCACTTTTGTCTTTTAACATGAACAAAAAAAAATCACATGGTAAATTCCCTAACCCTGTAGGCCCAAGTGTGACATATTTGATACATGACGTTTTGTGAGTTTTTGACACCTGAAAAACTTGAATAAACTTTTGAGCAAAAATTATACAAATTTAATTCCAAAAACATTTCAGTTTCAAAAAATTAGAATTTTCAGGCAACTAGTTAATGATTCAGGTTTTACAGAATTAAAGTGATGATCAGTCTGGTATCTTTTTTGTTGCAGGTTTTACCAGTTTGTGTTCATTTATTATAACCTCTTTTGAACACTGGAGTTTATAATAAATGAACACAAAGTAGTAAATAACTGTCATCACTTTTCTGATATTTGACTTGATATTAAAGCCTCTCTCTGCGCTGGTACGCTCTCAGTACAGTATGTGTTAAATTTCACTGTATCCAACAGGTCGCAGACCTTAAAAGCAACAACTTTAAAGGTGCCTGAGAGACCCCGGTTCACTTAAACAGACCAGAATTTGACACTGGTGTGAACTCTGGAGCTGTCAATGTGTTCAGTTCACTCAAGAGTCACTCAGAAGGAAAGTTAATTTGGTTCTCAATCATCTGGCTCCTGTGACCACATTGCACACAATGGCCCATTATCAGTTTCTGTGTGGAAGCTCTGATTCAGATGGGGTTTGTGTGCATGTGTGCATGTGCGTGTGCGTGTGTGTGTGTGTGTTCGAGAGAGAGAGAGAGAGAGAGAGAGGCAGAAAAAGAGACAGAGAGAGCCAAGACAGAAGGCTACGTTTTTAAAGGTTCACTCTGAAACGACTGCAATACGACAAGCGATGAAACAATAATAGAAACTAACACCAAAAGCAAAAGTATTTAATTAAGATTACAACACAAAGGTTATTCCTGCAGAACCCCATTCAGCCTCTGTTTACTGCAAAGTGATAATACAAGGGTTTCTTTAAAATTAGGTTATTAAATATTCACACCAGTTGCGTCAGTGGCACAGTTTCTTTTTGTCTAACGGGCCTGTAGTTGTATCCTCGGCCTTATCCTGGGAGGCTGTGTCAGCAGGTGGGATCGGATTACCCTTTCACCTCCCCTCCCTGGAGACCTCATCCACTATCGCAGGACACACAGGAGTGTAAAACCAGCATCTGAGCCAAGCCCTCAGAAACTCGAGCCAGATCCCCGCCCTCACATCTCGAAAAACTCTTTTAGAAGTCTCTTTTAATTATTTAACCTCAATGAGCTGTTTTTGCATACTGCTGCAGAGAGCTGAATTGTGCAACAGGTGTCCGAGAGCAACGGCAGAGACAGAAGTTGAGCTTTTGAAAAACACATGGCCCGTGTTGCATTTTGTAATGTTGGTCTTTCTAATCATATCCCGCTCACGCCATGTGTGTTGCAGGCATAACACCATCGGCTCGTACCGCAC